TGTCTCCCTGTGTGTATGTATACCCTGCTGTGCTTGCTTCTCACTGAGTGTCTGTCAGTTGTGTATCCCACATTTTGTTCCTGGCTTGTTTTATTTCTGGATTTTTGTGTATTATTATTACCCTAGAGGAATGAAGTTACACAGTCTCTTTTCAGTCCTGCATTTTGGGTTCCAATTTCAATTCACCCCAGGACACTTAGATAAAAAGTCTATGAACTCAACTCCTGAAATTCCTAACTTCTTTTTAATGTCTGCATTCAATACTTACGGATAAAGGAAATATATAAGGGAGTTAAACAGCCTAGTAGACAGCTATCTTCATGTTTTAATAAAGAGTTCAAAACAGCAGTTGTCAAACCCCTTTTGAAGAATAAAAAAATATATATATTAATAATAATAACAATAATACATCAAACGCTTTTTGGACACTCAAAGAGCCCTTCACAAGGGAAATAAAAAACAATAAAAAAAAAACAATCAAACAATCACTAAATCAATATAAAACGTTTAGTGTTTTTCAATCAATCAATTAAGCACAAATCAAAGTCAACAGTGGTCTCTGATAACCTCAGCTTTCCATACTGTCAATCACAGCGTCCTCCTTCAGAGGTTGATACTCTGGATAGACCTCTTTGTTTCCCTCCATCTATACTAATCTCATAACTTTATCATTATGTAATAGGAATGCAATTTTACGCCTTAAAAATAATCTTGCACCATTTGAGTTCATTCATCCCAAGCTTTACATACATCTAGAAATTGGACTATATCCGTTCATCTGAATGTAGTGACGGAGAGTTTTAAGAAATGCTGAAGCCAAACCAAGTCGACTAGTCTGGTACCTGTCCATCCATCCATCACAGTCCCATTTAAGCACATTTTTCTCCTGTCTTCTGTCTGTCCGTCGGCGTCTAAACCGAGAGTTCACCTCAGAGCCCTCACTGCTCCAATTTATCCTGTCAATCTTCTCCTCTCCTCTAGTTCCAGACACACGTTTCAGTGTTCACTCTGGCACACCATGAACGGGGCACAATTGTTTCTTTGGGAACAATGTGGTGAATAAAACTCCAGACAGACCAGTTGAAATAGCAAGTGAAAATTTCCAGCCAAGAAAAAAATACGGGGCTTTTGAACTAGTTTAAAAGTACGGTTCATGACCATTAAATGAGCTGCAGTCTGCAGTCTGTTGCTTCGTTTTATTTTGTCTCCTTTCAACAGGCATTGTCTATCTGCGACATTTGGTGTATATATAAAGTTGGTGGTGAAATGTGAATGGGGGGAAAAGCATGCACAAACTGCAAATGAAATTTACCACAATAATATAATGTCATAACCTGCAGTTAGGTACTCAGTTAGGTTAGCTCACAAACGAGTTTTTTTCCAATTGACTCCAGCTAATATAGATGAGTTTGAACCAACAACAGTGCACAGTTTCACCACCAGGTGAATAAGTCGCAGGAAAGATTAGTTTTATCTTAAATTTAAAGCTGCACTAACTGACTTTGGGATTTTGAAGCCGCGGACTCGCTGGCCTTGCTCTTTCTGCTCCCCTCCCCGCACCCATGAAGCTATCGCCCCCCACACACACCCATTGTTGTTCACAATATGGATAATACATGGATATGGATTTGCACGTGGATGGCGTGACCATAGAACGATAGAACCGGGAAGCGCGGAGGAACGAGACTTTCTTTTGGATGGCTGTTTCGCTAAGTAAGCGGTAACCGGTGACGAAGACGAGGAAGCTTCAGGTTAGCTCCTCGGCTTGTTGTGCTAAATCAGCTGCCTGTGCTAACGAACCTGTAGATTTCTCACAAAAATGGGGGCCAGTGGTCCGCTGTGATTGGTCACAATCAGAGACCCGAAACACATTCTCTTCCTTGTTTCATCAAAACTTGATCTAAAATATAATGTCACGCCAGCACAAATCTGCGCTACTTTATCTTCAAAAGGACGTATATCCCAATGCACTACATGGACATGGATAACATTTTCGTAATGAATACAAAAATAAAGTCAGTTAGTGCAGCTTTAAACCTCAGTAACTTAGAACTGAAGCTCTGTCTGAGTTCATGAGTTGTAAACATGTTAATCCAGCATGAGTCAGGTTAACAACCATCCTTCATTCTTTAGGGGGTAGGGCCACGGAAGGAAGCAGCCTGAACAGAGATGCCAACACTTACTTATACTAGAACACTTTATCAAGCTAATTTGGGGGAACCCATAAACAGTCCCAGGCCAACTTAGTACTTTCAGGTTCTCCTTTCTCCAGTAACCATCCTAGTGCATGGCGGAGGTCCTGATCTAATGAAGCCGACAAGTGTTACTGAAGTTACTTGAGACAAAAAAAAAAATCTAAAATGGTATTGTTGGTGATGGTACATGTGAATTTTCAAACATTTCAAACTTATTGGTTCTGATATCAATCCAATTTTATTGCATATAGGACTATAACAAACATTAACAATTTATCCTGCAGCATATGACCTTTCTGAATAAATGTGTCAATCATGATCACTCCCTCACAAGTCAGCTGACAAACATCTTCCACAGAATAGTAAATGTCACTGGATTCAGCCAGTATTTTTATTATTTTATATGTCAAGGTTCTCCCAAGTGATGGAGGGTTTTCTGGTCGTTATTTCATGCCATGGTTAATGTCCACATCCAAAGCCATTAGGCAGCATTGGTGTTACCCTCTGCTCTGGCAGGATTTGCATTTAAGAAAGTGTGATGGTAAAAGCAATTATACTGTAACCTTTGAGCTTACTGTATGTGAGTACTGTAGCAATGACAATCGTGTCCTGCATATAAACAGAACGGTTCTTTAGGTGCAGATCTGATGAGGTTTATGCCAGATATGTCCTATGGGGCACTACATAATTTTCAGCGGGCATATGATTTTTATTCTATTACATTCAGGCCGTAATCACATCATATAATTGTGATTACATTTTCAGCCCTGTTGGCCTAAGCGTGTGGCTGGGAGAGGTCATTGAAGGGACAGGAAACAAAAAGTATTGATGATGCGTTCACTTCATCAAGATAGCTTCAGTTGTCTCATTACTGGTATGAATTTTACTGGTATGAATCTTGTTTGTTTACGCCAGAATTCCCCAAAAGGAACCTCTTTTGGACACACATGGCAGACGTATTAAGGTATGAGTATATGGAGATGTAACACAGAATAAACCATGTAATAAAGAAAAATTAGCTGCTGTTATGCTTCTGCTGATATTAGTAAATACTTTAAATCTTATATCAATCAATCCAATCTGGCAGCCAGATCATAGCCTGATGCTAACTCCTTTCAGTCCATTGGAATATTGTATCCCAGCCTTGTCTTTAAAACCTCTCAGATGTGCACTGTCACTATCGCATCCGCTTTGTTTTAAAATAAACTTCAATGTTTTCAGCTTAAAAACACAGTTTTCATAGAAAGCCTATTTTTATCTCCCATAATGGTTATGAATAATTCACCACCATAAAGTGTTTAGATAAGAGTGTTTAGTTGACCTTTGGAGATGGCAAAGAACAAATATGAACAGAGCAGTTCTACACCCATCCAACCCTAACCCTAACCACAACCCTTACCTAAACCCTTTCCATCATTTTAATTTCAATCTACGTTGTGAAACTGCCCTTGCTCTATTTTGTGGTTGTTTAGGGAATCATTAAAATTAATTTGGGATCCAACGAGCATTGCGACGTGTAATGGATAAATAGTCCCTTATTTTCAGGGCATTCATAAAATACCTTTTTGAAATAAAATAAAAACATTTTGTTATGCCAGTTCGTTACTATCGACCATTTCCATTGGGGCTTTGACAGGTTTGAACAACGATAACCCTAAAATGTATGTGTGAACTTCTATGTCCATGCATGTTGTGTATTTATACTACATAATCCATGAAAATATCAATAATTGATTGCTGTTTATAAGCTCTAAATAAAAAGAGATGGATCATTATTTCCATGAAACAAAAATATAGATCCAGCTTTTTTTAAGTGACTGGTCCTTTAGGCTGTGAATGATTACGCCATTACCAGTTGTAGTGGAGCAAACTTTATTCCTTTATGTCAAAAATTGTCTATATAGTCAGTGACTTTGTTTGGGGCAAACACACATCCCTTTAAATAATCAGCCTCCTTCATGACTTTTCTACTGTATATTGTATTTCTCTGTTTCTATTTTTGTTTTGAGAAATCCCACAACTGTAGCATGCAGTGGGCGCGCAGCCATTTACAACAGAAGACAAATCGCCAACCGAACCATTTAAGTTCTTAAAGCTCACCCTGGGACCACTCTGCAAGACACTTACAACAAGGCCCCACACTTAATCTATATTTAGTCCCAACACAGTCAGCACAGACAAAAAGGACAGATGTAGGGTTTAAAGCTCTATAGATGACGACTAGCCGAACCTGTATCAGAGCTCAAACCATGTATTATTGTCACATCAGCAAAAGCCACAGAGCAATAGATGGCTTAATTCAGACTATTTCACACTCACACATTTGACAGAATTGTGATCTTATAGTGTAAGTAGAGTGAGCAAGCTTCATTTTATATTGTGTGATTTATGAACATTTTGGTTTTAGTGCTGGGGGAAATCCTTCGCAGGCACAGGGAGAACATGCAAACTCCACTGAGAAAAGCCCTGTGCTGAACTGGAGTAGGACCTTCTTGCTGAGAGACAACAGAGCTAACCGCTGTGCCACGCGGAGGTCTAGTCAATGTTACAGAAAGTAGAAAGTCAGTTTTCCAGTTTTCCAGAAAGTAAAAAGTGAGTTGTCCAGTTTTCATAAATAAAAGCAAGTTGAAACATCGAAGCCAACAGCACAAGGAGGAGCCAGGGAAACCAGGGGGGAAAGTGTAAGGTCACCATCGAACACATTACACAACAAGCAAGCATATTCACACAAACTGAACTTGTCTTTATCTTTGGTTTTAAATATGTCAAATGGTTTATGAATCTACAGTACACTTATATACTTGCCTGAAATGCTGACGTAGATGGCCGGGCTGGTCACCGAATCTCCGGTCAGTTCATTTACCGCGTCGGCATGGTATCGTCCCGCATCCGCCGCTGTGGTTGCCAAAACGACAAGCTGATTGTCCAATGTGATGGCTCTATGGAAAGGAGACAAAACATGGGGAATGAGATCTTTTAATAACTAGGTCTTCAGAAATGTGTGACTTTTTTTGTCTCTAAAGATTATTTCTATGTCATTATTTTTAAGACATTTTTTTCTACTTTTGAAATGGAAAAAGTTCTACCTTTACCTCCCAGAGTTGAGCCAGTGCTAGTTACCATAGCAACATAAGGCTTACTTGCTACCGGTTAGTATTTGGTAGCATTTCAACAAATTACGTTTTGCTGTATTTCAAGTTATAAACCAGTTTTAGCACTTAATAAAAGTGATTAAATTACTTACTTTGAATACATCTCTCGAAAAACTAAACATTATTCGGGCAATTTCTCAGATTGGTTTAAATAAGAGCAGTCAAAATGATGTTTCTGGGACTTCTAATAGTGACAAATATGTGCGAGTCCTAGTGTTATAGGGTTTTCATAACACAAATTTGGAAGGGGTGACTGTTAGAAATGTGTTCAACTATAGATCTTCTCTTCTCAAGGGAGTTATTTTCTTATCTTTAACCAGGTTACAAGGCAAAATATGGTACAACTGCTTTCATTGCAGGTTAGAAGCAAGCATGCAATTATACCCCCGGAGTGATGAAAGCCAGTGTAAACACACAGGAATGAATCATTTTAAAGGCAGATTAGCCCTGAGCCTCAACTTCAATTCTCATAGACTTTGGCAGGCTCTGACATAAATACGCTTTATCAAATCTTTCAAGATGAACCTTTAGAAAACACACAGGTCTATAAATCGGTGTGTTTTTATGGCAAAGACATGATAGATGTTGATTCAGTTTTTGTATTCACAGTTGTTCCACTGGATCTAAGATACTATTGATTGTGATGATTTTCTAATTATTAGCTCATTTGAATTTTCAGTTTTTTCGCAATCTCAATCCAGTTTTGAGACAAAGTAGGGAATCGCAAAGCTAAGTTACAGACATACACGCATATTTGTGTGGTATTTAGCAGTAAAAACACCTGTAATTATTTATTATATGCAATTCTAATACCATAGTGAGCCAAAAGTCCAAGCAAAGCATTTAGAATTCCATGGTGGCAAGCAAGTAATTACACTCATCTAAAGAGCCCAGCCATCTTTCAGGGAAAGATGGATCTCAACCTACGTATGAAAGTGTGCTACGTAACAAAGTGAATCAGGTCGTTTTTGAGCCTCTCGAGAATGAAAAAGAAAGATTTCTCTCAAACTAAAGCTTGAAGGAATCAATGAAAAAACTTAATCTGGGCATGTGTACGAAGGCCAAATAGCACTGCAATCATGTTTAAACCAGAGAAAAATCAAAAAGCGTAATATGGGATCTTTAAAGGCTGTAACAAAGTGAACCATTCATTTTTCAAGCACATAAAAGCAACTCTCTAGACTCCAGACTTATCTTGGACACTGGAGATTCTGAGAACACATTAATGTCAAAGTACAGACAGCAAAGCATGAAGTATTCCATAGCTTAATTCTAAATTGCATGATTCAGAGAAACTCGATAACATACACTTCGTTTAAATTCTTTGTATTTCTGTTTAGGCCTAAATCACAACAGCAGTCATCTCAGAGGACTTTATTGATTCACCAACAACTGATCAGAGAAACAAACGGTTCGAACACAGAACACAATAAAAACAATAGGAGCCATTGGCCGATAGGGAGTGGGATGACCAATGTCCATAAATGTTCATGAATGTCCGAACCATCTTTATGCGGGGAGGCACACATAGAGATGGGGATCCGCTCCTCCAGGCTATGGACCAAGGACTGAGGCTGTGGGGGGCAGGACTAAAGAGGCTCCCAGACCAATGAGGTGGGTCCAGCCCATGAGTAAGTACAGGTCGTCTTGAATGAGTTACTTTAATTACATTGACCTGTTACATTGACTAAGCCGCAATTAACAAGGGTATCTTGAGAATGAGTATATGTGTTTGTCACCTTTTTTTAAATGATCTTAAATCCCAATGTCCTGATTAGTTTGCTCCACACAGGGCGGGTACCTTTATCCAATTGCTCCTATTCGGCCGTGATGTTTGTAGAAAACAGGACAATAATGTCTTTCAAACCCAGCAAACGTCCACTTTGTTCTGGCTTTAAATCCTCAGTTTTTGATTTGCTTGGCTATGTCAGGATAACTCCCTCTGATTGATGTGTATCGATTCAGAAATTGACTATTTAATACTACTGATGCTCATAGAATGAAGCAGGAGGCCACTAAAGCCTCATAGTTTTACAATGAAAATAGCTTAAATCTCTCCAGAAAATGTTTTACAGCGAAAATATATATTGTTTTATCCATCAGTTATTGAAGTCAATAAAGTAATTACCAAGACAGGCCAGATACCGGTACTCCTCCCAAGGTCAATAGGATCAGATACCATCACTGTAGTTTTAAAGCTTAAAATAAGAAAGGAGTCAGAAATACATCAAACTATCTCACAACGGCGATGCCTCTCTATAAAAATGCCGAAAGATGTATTAGCACTTGCATTATTTACAGATGTCATCTCCATAGGTTCAAACATGGAGCAGGCGGGATTGCTGAGAGTGCATTGAAAACAGCAGCACTTGAGTCCTAAAAATACCGGTTGGATAAAAGGCAGGCAGAATGACACATTTGAGGGGCTGGACGCGCTCCCAGCTGTTACGTTATTTATCCTGTGTCACTGTACATAAACACTAAAAGCACAAACAGGCTAAAAGTGGAAGCCATCAGCTCGACCAGAGCTGCGGAAGGGAGAAGGGTCTCGCACAGTGATTTCAGATGAGCACTCACTCTTAAAACTGGTTGTAGAAAGTGCTTTGAAGTTAAAGTCAAATGTTTTGTGTGTGTTACAAAATGTCTTTCTTTTCAAATGTTGTATTACATTATTACATTCAACTTGACATATTATTCAAAATTGACTTTGTTGAGCTTTAACCATTTTACAGTGTTGATATTGGGGCGACATTGAGCCTGGAGGTTGTGGGTTTGAGCCCACCACAAGACCTACTCCACGACTCCCACTGAAGCTGTGTCCTTGGCAAGACACCTAACCACCAGGTGCCACAGTGGGGTGGCTAAAGCCCTATTCGGACGGGATTAGTTTTACATGGGGACCCCTGGTAATTTGTGATAATCACAGAGGACGTCTGAGATCTGACAGCGCATTCGCACGGGATAAGCAATGTCTGTAATTTTTCACTGACATCTGACATAATGGCTGCACATGCGCGTGTCTCTCTGCTTCACACAGCCCATAGAGACTGGTGTCTTTATGAACAAACACACACATGTGGATTTTTACTACTCTACAGTTCTCTGGCCTGTACTTTCTGTAAATGTTTAAACCATACTTTTTGTTCGACTACCCGTGAACCCCCCCCAAATACTCCGCTAGAATACGTGCGAGCCGACAAATAGTAACAGCTGCAGAAACACGTCTGTAGTGTATGAGGACGGAGACAGAGTGCAGAGTAAACGTACAAACACGTTTACGATGAGTCTGATCGTTTAGCGTCAGTGAACACATTACACTGTCCTCTACTTCTCCATAGACCTGACAGAGACAGCAGCAGCCGGGACTCTGCAGGTGTTCACAGCCGCGATTCCTCTGCTCATTGATAAAAACAACGCAGAAAGATAAAGAGAAAGCGGCAATAGCAATCACAATCACTGACATGCAGATTCGCACGGGATTAGTATTATCAGAGGACGTCTGTGTTTGGACAAATACAGGAGTTATTTTGCTGTGGCATTATTACTTTACAAATTATAGACATGGCGCATTCGAACGGGACTCAGACGTCCTCTGTGATTATCACAAATTACCAGGGGTCCCCATGTAAAACTAATCCCGTCCGAATAGGGCTTAGGGCTGTAAAGTGCCAAACTGCCGTTGTGTCCTTAGGCAAGACACTTCACCCACATTGCCTGGAAAGAATCTGGTGGTCTGGAGGGGCTGATGGCACATACTGGTTGCCTCGCACTAGTTGGTTACTAGTTTATCACCACCGTGTATGGAGTGAATGAATAATGACTTCCAAAAAAGTGCTGTTGTATCTCAAAACAGACATGAACTTGTTTCAAGATATATCCACACAAATATCATGAACTTTATCTCTATCCTTTCTCTCTCTCGGTCCTGTGATGGATGATGTCATTGTACCACTATGCGTCACGTTCAGAGCAGTTTCTGAAAAATTTAGCAATTTCTCGAATTAAATTACATTTTTGAGATCACATTGCAGTGGTTACAGCCATTAGTTTTAAAATTTTTAAACAAAAAACAAGCCTAATTCTACACCTCCCTCTGGTGGTAAGGATTGGGATCAGGATGCTTATTATCACAACGATCCTTCCATTCAAGAAGTTACACTGTGCAATTGCAAATATTTCTATAGTCAGGTTTGGAAACATAACTCTCTCCTTTATGGATACTCAACTTTTAAGATGTATTTAATTTGATATGGATTATTTTAACACAAACCTACAAAATAAACTATATTCATAAGATATACATTGGCTGTATCACTGTAGAGGCTGCAAGGTTAACTTCAAGAACTTGAAATGAATGCAGACTATAATTTGTTTTTTATTTCCTTCCTCATTATTCTTGGTATGATGAGCAAATTATTACTTTAATTTAATTTGAAGTGTTTTATTTACGCTTAAAAAGATGAAAATCAATTAAATCACTGCACCAATTTGATTCAACAATGTATTCAACAACGTATTCAAATAAAAGCATTAGAGCAGTCCAGTAACCAGCGGCAACTAGGGACTTGAGGGGAACGTGAGGAACACAATGGCAACATTTGGGCTGGATTCATATTTTCACAATGACATTTTTTTAACCTCTGCCACGGAAGACGTCCATGAATGAGCCATTTCAAATGTAACAGCTTGTATTATGCTTTCAAAGAGTACTTTCAAAGAACAATACATTAATTAGTTTGCTTGTAAAGATAAGATAAGATAAGACTTTATTAATCTCACACAGGAGA